TTTTTTTTAAAAGATGCATTTCTTTCAGGGAAACAAAAATAAGAATGATTACTGACTTTCTTGACAGAAACTAAAAAAGCTAGAAAGCAGTGAATGACATCTTTAGAGATTGGAATGAAATAACTGCCAACTTAGAATTCTATACCCAGTAAAAATATCCTTCAAAAATTAAAGTAAAATGGAGATGTTCTCAAACAAACAAAATCTGAGAGAATTCATCAGCAGCAGGCTCATAATATGAAAATACAGAAAGGACATTCTTTGGGCTGAAGGAAAATGATCTCAGATGGAAGAACAGAAGTATAAGAGGGGATGATCAGCTATTAAAAGTATAAATATTTGGGTAAATAAAAAGACTAACCGCTTTTTAAATATTTTGTTTTCTAAAGCAAGAGTAATTACAAGGCCCATGGGTTTAGAACATATGTAGAAATAAAAATATATGACAATAATAGCAGAAATGGTGAGTAGGGGTTAAATGTACTTACACAGTTATTGTGTTGTTTGCACACCACAAAGTACTAATTCAAGGTAGATTGTAATATGTTAATGATATATTTTGTAATTTTTTAAAAATGATACTAAATGTATAACAAAAAGTAGTAGCGGAGATAAAATGGAAGAATTAAAAATGCTTTATTTATTGAAAATAATACACGGAAGGAAAAAAGATTAGACAAACGAAAAACAAATATGATAGAATTAAACCCAACTAAATCCATAATTAAATGAAATGTAAATGGACTTAATGTTCTAATTAAAAGACAGTGATTATCAGACTGGATTAAAAAGATGAAACTCATTATATGCTGTTTACAAGAAATAAAGACTAGATAGGTTGAACATAAAAAGATGGTAAAACATGTACCAAAAGGTAGCTGATGTAGCTTAATGAATATCTGACAAAGCAGGCTTTAAGGCAAAACAGTATTTGAGGAGCTAAATATATTCTATTTAGATTTTTTTAATATTTCAAAATATTAAAATGGCAATTAAACAAGAATATCTAAAAATCTTATATTTTTATTCATTTAATAACATAGCTTCAAAATGTATAAAGCAAAAGTCGACATGATTAATTGGAGAGAGGCAAATTCAAAACCATTGCTGACAATTTTAATAGATTTCTCTCAGTAACTGATAGAATAAACAAAAATCAGTGCAATATGACAGATATGAATAATAATTAAACAAGTTGACCTATCTGACATTTAAAGAAGACCATGTCAAAAAACTGCAGAATGTGTATTATTTCCAAGTGGAATGGTACATTTACCAAAGTAGATCGTATTATGGACCATAAAGCAAGTCTAAACAAACTTCAAATGATTGAAAGCATCCTGTGTCTGTTCTCTAACTACTGAGGAGTTCAGCTTGATCCATTTTGAATATAAGTTTACTCTTCTCATACCACGAGCAGGGCTTAGTCACCCTTGACACAGCTCCCAGTCGTCTGCCTCCTCCTAGTTCCTCAGTGTGCTGGATCCAGATACCTGCCTTATACCACCATCTCCTGGTGACCACCTCCCTATAGGACAGCTGGATACAACCTACTTGGCTCACCCCACGGATCCCCACACGCCATATGGGCTGTGCAGACATCCAGCAGTGACCCCGTCTCAGTCACAGTATGACTCCACGGAATTCTTGCCTGCTTATGCTAAACTCACTCATTAGAACTCCCCACAGGAGACCTGCTTGGGTAACACCCTGGACCCCAATAAATGCCGCAATCTGTAGGTCCCTCACTCCCTTGTGCTGCCCACATGCTGGTTGAGTGTGAGTGCCCCTGAAGTCTCCCCCTTCCCATTGGCCCTGTGAGGTGGGCTGCCTTTTCTCTCTGGGATCTGCAAATAATAAAACTCCTTCTGTTATTTTATGAGTTTTGTTGTGCTGCCTCCTCTGTGTCTCCCCTGACCAACACAGCTGAACTTGACTCCCCTCCCTGTGATGGCTCTCCTAGGGAGTAGCTGTCTTGGTAAGAATAAACTGGACACGGCTCAGACAAGAGCCACAAGGTGTCTGCCAGTGTGAACAAGTTTCCTCATCAGAAGTCAGACACTCAGACATTAGGTCATTACCAGGATAAAGTAGTATCCCACGAAAGGCTCACTGTACACACCCATGACCACCTTCCCTGGAGCCCCATCAGGTCAGGGCTAGAATTTATAGACACTCTCCACAGAAATACCTCAAGACCAAATTAGAGAAAAATACAACATTCACACACGTGCACACACACACACACACCCATGCATGCATGTTTATGCCATTACTTAATTCATAATAGCCCAAAACTGGAAACAGCAATAGAAAGGAATGAACTATTGATACACACACCAACCTGGATGAATTTCTTGAGAATTATACTGACTGAGAAAAGTCAGTCTCAAAAGGTTATATTCTGATTCTGTTTATGTAATGTTCTTGAAAGGATAAAATTTTAGAAATGGAGAACAGATTAGTGGTTTCCAGGATTTATAGATGGGGTGGTAATGGGAGGGAAAAAGGTGTGGCTATATAAAGGCAACATGAGAGATCTTTCTGGTGATGGAAATGTTCTGAATCTTGACTATTTCCATGTTAATATCCTGATTGTGATCTTGTAAGATAGTTCTGCAAGATGTTACTATGGGGAGAAGCCTGGTGAAGGGTACACAGGCTCTCTCTGTATTATTTCTTACATCAGCACAGGAATCTACCATTATCTCAAAATAAAAAACTTAATTTTTGAAAAGCATAAATGAAGCGTAGTTATGCGCAACCACATAAGTAAATATTGCAATTGAAATATTGTTTGAAAGAAGTCACAAATAAAAAAAAGTTTATGTAGTATGATTCTGTTTACAAGAGTGGGCAACCTGAATGTCCAGTGAAGTCAGAATGATGGTTACCTATAGACTGGGATGCAGCAGGAGAGTTCAGGGGTGATGAAAACGATCTATATTTAGACTGGCTGGTAGTTATGTGGTTATATGTAAAAATTAAATTTAAAAGCTAATCAACTTATGAGTGGGTGAACTTTACTGTACATATATTATATTGCAGTAAAATGAATGAATGAGGAGATGGATATGGAGGAGTGAAAGAGGGTGGAGCATTAAGAACGTGCCTAACATCCATCGTCTGTGGGGATCATGGGTCACCTGTAGGGACCTGAGATAGAACATGATGCAGAAAAGGAAGAGACAGACCAGGCTGGAAAAAGTCACACACTGTGCTAAGGAATTTAATTTGATCCTGTGGACACTGGGGAGCTGCTGATGGGTATCCTCAATAGAATTATAAAGTGATCAGCACTTTTGTAAAAGATCACATTTGTGCATCCTCCAGGCTGTCACAAGTATCCAAATGCAAAGACCCTTGGAAACTGAAGGTGGACAGTTGCCTGGCCCTGCGGGCTCCAGATTTGGGGCTAGATGCTAACAGAGAGAGGTGGTCGGGCACTGCCTTAGTCCCTCTGAGTTTTCTACAACAAAGTACCTTAGACTGGGTAATTTATGAACAGCAGAGATGTATTGCTTATAGTTCTGGAGTCTGGGAAGTCCAAGATCAAGGTGCCAGCAGATTCAGTGCCTGGTGAGGCCTACGCTCTGCTTCAAAGATGGTGCCTTCTAGCAATATCCTTACACAGTGGAGGGGTAAACAAGCTCCCTCAAACCTCTTTTATAAGGGAACGCTAATCCCATTATGAGGGTGGAGCCCTCATGACCTAATTATCCCAAAGGCCTCACCTCTAAAAACTTTGGGGGTTAGGTCTCAACATATGAATTTGGGGGGTGTATTAGTCCACTTCTGTTGCTTATAACAAAATACATGGAACTGAGTGATTTGTAAGAAAACAAAATTCATTGCTTACAGTTTCTGAGGCTGGAGAGTCCAAAGTCAGGGAATACATCTGTTGAGGGTCTTGGTGGTGGCAACAGTGACCCAGACGTTTCACATGGCAGAAAATGGCAGAGCAGAGAGAGTGATAGCTCCTCATTCACTCTCCTTTTAAAGCCCCCAGAATCACACCCATGACCACCATTTTTAATCCATTCACTGGCCATGGTCCTCAGAATCTAATCACTCTTCAAGGCCCCACCTTTCAATTACCATGACAGGATTTCCCACCCTCTTAACACTGTCACAGTGGGATTCGAGTTTTGGGGGGACACAAGCATTCAGACCATAGCAGGTACCGAAGACAAGCACAGCTTGATTCTCTGGGTGTGCACATGGCACTCGTGCTTTGTAGTCCACTGGGCCAGAGCCCAGAAAAAGAGCCAGAGTGCTCGGGGCCTGTTTGGAATTGGACCCCAGGCAGGCTCCACAGTAGAGACTTCGTTTTCAGTCCACACAGGGACATGCTCACAGAAGCAGCTTGGGGTTTTCTGGGCCGATCCCTCTGTGTATGAAAACCACAGCCCCATGATCAATGTACCACAATTAACTTTTCGCCTCCCATCACCCCCCAAAACATTGACTTAGCTCATTTCTAGTGCTAATTTGCTTGCTTGTTTTTTACTAAATTGTTGGTTATTTCCATTTTCTTTCAGAAAAATAAAGGGAAGAAGAAAGGGAAAAAGGGGAAGAAGGATAAAGATCTGACAGCTGACAGGTGAGGACTGGGCTTGTTTTCTTGGGATGCACGTGAGAAGGGGGGGGTGCCCCAGAGAACAGGAAACCCTGCGCCGCAGCCTGAGTCCTCCATGGCCAGGCCCTAAGTGTCCCCTCTCTTTTGCACGACACCACAACCCCTTCATCCTCGACAGAGTCAGGGGAGAGGTACGGGCTGACATGGGCAAGGGCTTTCCCGCACAAATCCTAGACAGGAAAGATGCCTGCCCGGGCCCGGGAGGCAGACGTGGGCCCCTACTGCTTCTGAGTTCATGTAATTTTTAAGTTTTAAAATTCTTTGGGGAATGTGGGGAGGTGATTTTTTTAAAAAATCTTAAGAACTAACATCGTAATGCAACTTGCAAGACTGAGTTCCTGCCCAGCCCTGGGCCAGCCCCCAAGGCGCCTTCGCGCTTCCTGGGGAAGGAGTGCTGAGTGCCAAGGCCGAGCCTCGGAAAGGAGATTTTCCATCTCCTTGGGCCTCACTGGTGCACTTTAGTACCAATGAATAACTTTCAGTGCTCACTGTTTAAGCTGAAATGGCCCTTAAGAGATTTAACGTTGAAAATAAATAGTTTTCAGTAGGTTTTGAAATATGATCAAGGAATTAAAGTCACTAATAAGTGAATGTCAGGAATCACTTTGAACAAATACCATTCTTCCCATGGGGTCTGTGAATGGGTCGACATGTTTTGCTCCCGTTTTGGGGTGCTCCCTAGCTTAGAACTCTCTGGAAAGGAGGCCAGAGCGCCCCAGAGCCAGCACATGTGCGTGGAGTCCTGGCGAGCAGCCTCTGGGAAACAGCCGGAGCGGGCGTGGGCTTTGGCTCTGTACAGAAAAGGCTTTCCGAGGACATTCCTAGAGGGAGGGGCTACAGGTTTCCCCACTTGAGGTTTCATTTTTTGTGGAATGATTCAGGGTCAGCATTTTGAGACTCACGTGCCCCAATTCCTGTGGAGATGTGCATCTGTTCATGCAGGAACCCCGATGCCCCCTGGGGCAGCTCCTGGGGACAAAAGGGGTATCATAGTTCCGTCCCTTGAGGATGGTCTAGCCCACCCATACACACGGTGCCACCAGTGTGTTTTAGTAGCTTTTAAAAGCCACTTTTCTCCTTTGTTCTTACTAGCATTAGTCACAAAACACGGTGAAGTCTTTCAAGTGAAGATCATGTTATGTGCCTTATCCAAGGACAAGCCAAGAACTAAAATCAAACTAATATGGGGCCGGCCCGGTGGCGCACTGCTATAGTGCACCACTTGGGAAGCGCGGTGGCGCTCCCGCCGAGGGTTCGGAGCCGAGGGTTCGGATCCCACATACAGACCGGCCGCTCACTGGCTGAGCGAGGGGCGGGGGCATCACCGAGGGTTGCGATCCCGTGGCCGGTCACGAAAAAAGACAAAAAACAAACAAACAAACAAAAAATCAAACTAATATGAACCCACCACTAAGTTAAGATTATTCACTTACATTTTCCTGCATGTAAAGTACTGCTTTACTGAATAAAATGCTGCTTTCACAAAGAAGGCCACATGTGTGTGGCTCGTGGACAGTGTCCACGAGGCATTGGACATACTCTCGGCACGTGCCTCCTTGCAGCTGACCCGTCGTAAATGAGCTGCCAGCAATTCTCTAGTGAAATGAGTAGAGACTGGCATTGGATTTATTTCTATAGCCAGAAATACAGAAAACCTCATCTCATTCCTGAAAGTCTTTTTATATTAATTTTAAAGACCCTAAGCCACTAAAGTAGGGTTATTTCTGCCACAGTACTGTAAGGCAACTTCTGTTTCTCTCATTAAATTAATATTACCCTTAAACCGGTATTTTAAACTCAGTTTAAGTTAGTTTTAAAGTTGAAAATGTTTTATTCCACGATAAAAGTTTATTTCACTAGAAAAATCCAAATATAGATTTGTATTCAGGGCTACTTAATATATTTCGTTTTGAATATTTTAGAAAATCTTCTTCCATTTTATGTTAACATTTAATGCTATGTTGTATGTTTATATTAAATAAATATTCAAGTTAAAACACTGTAATTGATACTCCTTTAATGTATGTCAGATACTGTTATCCCAAATTCCATTTCAGTTAAACTTTTCTTAATCATCAGCAAAAGGCATACTATTTTAAATATATTTGATGGAGTACAATTTTGGTTAACCAAAGACTGGGGTCATTGGATTAACATTTATTCCAATAGCATTTGGCTTGAGTCTTCCTGCTATTCCTGGGTCTCTTAATCACACTAACTTGGATCAAAGACTGTTTAAATACTTATATAAATATATCTACAATTCTCAACCTAAAGAAAGACTAGGGTAGAACGGAAGAATAAAAAGGAAAAGACAAAACGTCTCAAAGGATCATACTGAATAGTATTTGAGCTTAACCTATTTGAATTCCTGTAAGCCAAACCAGTATCATTGGGAGTTCCACCCATTAAGTCGGATCCTATGTCCATTTTTTCTGAATTAGTATAAATTACCAGAGTGCTGGCTATGTGCCCAAGGCCCTCTTACAGGAATGGTTTTGACATCTGTAAACACTCCAAAAAAGTAAAATAGCCTCCTAAAAAATCATTACACTCACAGCTTTAGACATTTTATCTTTTATATAGGAATTATCTCCAGTGTAAGCCTTTGTTCTTTGTAGATATATCTTTTAAACTATTATGCTGTTGGCTTTAAAGGAAACATAAATTTTACAGGGGATTAATGATCTTCTACTGCATGCAGATGCTAACTGAATGTATAATTACAGGCCCATTGCATTATTATTATTGGGCAATTTCTAATTCATATTTGTGCCATCATGAAGATGGATGGAAGGGCAGACTGCAGGAGTTATAGCTGGTCTCAGATACCCAAAGATATCACTCTTATTAATGGGAAACATCAGATATACACATGGATGAGTGAAAGTATTGTTTTTAAAAAGCACAATTTATCCCCAAATTGTAGAAACATTTCAAAATCCATTTGTTTGCACATATACAAACGTAATTTGAAATAGATCTGGTTTAAGTTCTTTGCGTATGTGATGATTAACAGAAATCGTGCTGAGGATTTTATGTGTGTGCTCATGAAACCGACGGTCTGCTTTGTCCCCAGGACCATCGAGTCCCTGTATAAGGAGCTGGTGCAGGAAGGGTTGCTGATCCGGGCTCTGACAGTCAACCTCTCTGATTACATTGGTAAAGTACACGAAGAATAGTGTGTGACATGTCACGTTGACATCCCTTGGGTCTTTGAGGGCCCAGCAGCTGGAAATACGTTTCATTTGTGTTTTTGTCCAAGCCAAAACCTGGCCTGTGGTGACTTCTGATAAATGTTTATCAGATTTAATTTATTTGAATAACCTAAGAGGATACTGTGAACAAATAGATTTTCTTAATAAAATGGATTCTCTTAATCAAATAAAGTTCATTAAGAGAATCTGTCTCTCCTAACATGGTAGAAGCAGGTTTTTTTTTAACCTGCTAACAAGGTTCCTTGTGGTATTCTTTCTGGCATAATCTGACTTAAGGTGATGAAGAATGGTTTATGCTTTCGTGTTTGAACAAAGTGTCTCCAGCGGGCAGCACCTCGTGCGTCCCCAACACACTGTCCTTACAGGAGGGATTCCTTCCAGTAGAGACAGAAGTCTTTGGAGGAAAGAGGTGGGGACATTGGCATCACAATCTTCAGCAATGTTTTCTCCTAATTTTATAAAAACAATGTAATGACCTGAAAACACACTTCAAGCTTAAAAATTCTTCATAAGTCTGCCGCCCTAAGGCAAATATTATTTTCACTTTCATGAGAAAAGTTTTTCCAATGAATGAGCACATTCTCCTACATAACGACAAGAGGACAATCACACTCAGAAAATTTAGCATTCATACAGTACTGTTACCCAATACGTCGTTAATATTCAGTTTCCCCCGCAGTCCTGATCATGTCCTTTATAACAGTCTTTCTCGACCTACAATCCAGTCAAGGATCGTGCATGTGGTTGCCGTCTCATCAGTCTCCTTTAATGCTGTCATCTGGAACAGTTTGCCTTTTTTAGTCTTTCACAACACTAACAATTTTGAAGCATCTGAGCTGTTTTACAGATTGTCCCTCAGCTGAATTTGTTTGATGGTTTCCTCGTTATTTGTCCAGGTTGAACGTTTTTGACAGGAAAACCCCATAGGTGATAGTGTGTGCTTTTCGGTTTTCCCCCAGGGGCACACAGTGCCACTGTGTCCCATCACTGGTGACATTGAGTTTAATCATGTGGCAGAGGTGCTGTTCCCAGATTTTTCCATTGTGAAACTTCTTTCTGTTTATAATTAATGAGCAATCTGTGTGTGAGACTTTGAGGCTCTGGAGATTCCGTTCCCAACAGTCTTTCACCCAAACGTTTTAGCATCCACCTATGGTTTTGCCTGCATCGGTTATTGCTGCAGTGGTTGTAAAATGGGGGTTTTCTCTTTCTGTCATTTCTTTTACATTTAGTAGATCCTGTTCCTCTGTAAGGAAGTATGAAATATTTTTAAATGGTTGTGGTATCAGTGCAGACACATGATTTCTCTTTTTATTCAAGGTATTATAATCTGTCCTATCATTATTCATTCTAATGTTTACATTGACCCAATTTTTTGCAAGAAGAGAGCCAGAAGCCTGGCATTTTCCCTTGATCAGAGGAGGATTGTTTCCTTCTTGAAGGCTTGGAAGAGCTTCCACATTTCCTATTGAGAGTATACGAGTTTTGCCAGAACGCATAGTGGAATGTGTGTTGGGTTTCTATTTACTTTAAGTATTTCTCAATCAAGGGCTAGAGGGTTTTCTCGTGAATTCCCCTAATTCTGTTCATTCTGTTAGTTTTTAACAGAACTGTCTTTTATATCAGGTTCAGATCTTTGAATAAAAGATCCTAGTGCTTAGTACAGTGCCTGGCACATGGTAGATTCTCGGTAACTATTTGTGGACTGATTTCTCAATTCCTTACAATTTCTTACCCATTCTGGATTTTTCCAGTGATCTGTCAGTTTCCAGGTGGCATCTTTAAGATGACTAAGGTCAAAGTGGATGGGACAGCCACCTAAAAGAGACTTTGAAAATGACCCAATCTAACAAAATCAGTCAAATTTCCCCAAGGGCTGGCACTCTTTGACTTGTCCATATTTTCCTTATGTTTTCCCAGTTGAGATCCTTAGCTTAAAAGATGGCAGTGTATCTTCCCAACTCACCACATAACAGAGAATCTAGGCAGCAAAAATAAAAACCCGCAGGCAAGGCACACCAAAACTAAATGACAAGGTTTCCTCCTTGGACCCTAAAATACAGACCACTGGGGCACTGAAGGACCTGAGAACAGGAGAACCCCAAAGGACCAGCAGCACTAGCTGGAAAGTGCACTGGGCAAGGGAAGAGTTGAAGTGGAACTGGGAGGGGCTGTGCCCCTGCAGTGGCAGACGTGTGCAAAGGGCCAGTATGCAAACTATGAAGGGGCTAGAGCAGTCCAAATCTCATGACCTCGTGAAAGCAACCTGCCTCAGCTCCCTACCTAGACATGGGGCCCCATACTAAGAGGAGACTCTCGGGAACAGAATCAAAATTGAACAAGAATGGAAAATTAAAATGAAACAGAAAAAGTTGGAAGAGGGGAGCAGAACCAGAATGTCTCTCTGAAAGCAAGCCACCGTACTTGTGACATATATGAAAACAACAGAAGAGGGAGCACCAGGAAAGTAGAAATACTGTCCTGGACCACACCTTCTTCTAAGAGTGTGGGAGCGTTAACTCACGTAGATTTGAGCAATGAAAAGCTCAAGGTCAGAGCCCACCCAAAATTACCATAAGGCAAAAAGGAATAAGGAATAGTTACCATCTCATAAAGCAGATCTACACTGGAAACTACTATTTCAAAACAAGCTAATATACTTAAAAAATTGTAGAAGACATGTAAGAACAGCACAAAATAGAATTAGAAAATAACTCAGAAATGAGGTGACAAAACTCAACAAATATAAGAAAGGGGAAAAAATGTTTTAGAAAACATCCTGAAGTCTTGCCAACAGTGCTGAATCTCAGTGTGACCAAGCCTCTGGATGCAGCAGCCAATTTGCAGGACATGCAGAGGAACGCAGTGGACCCTCCACAGGCATGCAGTTAGCATACTCCAGACTGTGGGAGGACACCCAGCTTCTTCCTACACCGCACAGAAGAGAACTGATAAAGGGAACCCGAAGGTTAAGATTGACCTACGACAGACTAGCCTCTGAGCATGCGCACTTTGGTGATAACACTATAAAGAAGTGGAAGGAGGAGATCACTGTGCAATTTGGGACAGGGTTTTCTTTTGGCAGGAGGGAGAGAGCTGCGATTGGGGTGGGCACGTGGGGGAGAGTCATCTCTGGGATGCTGCAAAATGTTGTCTGATAGCCTGAGCAGAGTTCATCTTACAATGACTCACTAAGCTACACATTTATTTAGTGTGGTCTTCTGTATCTGTGTTTTATTTTACAATTAAAGGGTATTTTTTAAAAGTCCCTTAGCTTGCACTCTCAAATAGGAAAGTAACACTCCATCATTCAACTTCCAGGGTTGGCTGCTTGTGTGTCTCCCACAGAGTCGAGACTGGCCTCAGCCCTGCCCTGGGGTCCCACGTGGAAGGGATCCTGCTGGGGTCCCCCCCAGCCCCTGCCGCCTGCACACATGTGTGCACACGTATTCACACGCCCAAGCACGCACGTGTGATGGCAGGGCCTGCTGCTTCCCTGCCCTGACAGGCTGTGGCATCCGCTTTCTTCCTCATTGTTTCAGTGATGCTGTTCTTTGTCCTGTGGCAAGTGCAGGAGTCACATTTTATTCATACATGTGATGTCCTCTTCAGTTTCTGGAAGCATAGTAAATAGTTCTTGCCTAAACGCTATTTATCTTACAGATCATATGCAAGCCTTGTGTTCTCAGGTAAAGCCTTATCCAACCTCTTATTTGTTCATTTATCTTTTACCCGTAGAATCGTCTTCTGGGCCATGACTTTGTCTGTCTCCCCATCCTTCTCTACTCTGAGCTGGGTCATCTTGGTAGCCCGGGGCCATAGGGAAGGCTGTGGGACAATCCTATGCTTCGCTCCCCACCTCGAATTTGGTGGAAGGAGCCAGCCCCTGCCAGAGGGCTTTGATGTCTGGGCAGCTGTTTGGTTATCCCCCGACCCATTGCTGATTTTGGAACGGAACAGCGAGCCTGTGGTTACCCTCCACAGCCTGGCACTGCAGACTTGCCACACTGGGGGAACTGGGCTCTGGTACAGCTGGGGAGCCACTTCCTCATCAGCTGAGTTTGGGGGCTTATAAACACCCGCCTGCCTCTGGAACGCACCCTGTCCTCAACACTCAGCTAGTCGTGCCTTGTGGTCTTGTCTTAGAAGAGAATTAACAAAAGGGGGACCCAGGCACCCCCACCTACCCATCCTGCTGTTCCAGGGGCCTGCGCTGCAAGCACTGGATGCTCAGAGCCCTTTTGTCCTGCATCTACACGGGGAGAGCAGGGCAGGTGGGGCCGAACATCCTCAGCTTCTCATCCAGGTGGGGCAGGAACACGGACCCCCAGACACGGAACATGGTTCCATGGCCTGTACATTTCCCACCAGACCAGGAACCCTCCACCCAAATCAGCCCCAGCACTGCTGGGACATGAAGCTGGTTTCCAGAGCCTACAGATTAGTAATCCCACTGTCCTCTGAACACTGCTCAAATCCCAATAGTCATTAGAATTATAGCAGGTTAGGGCTGTAGAGGAGGAAACGGAGCCAGAGGATGCTGAGCCCGCAGTGCAGAGCCCACAATGTCCCACTCCCCTAAGGCCCAGCCCTCCAGTCTCTGCCACCAGCTCCTCTCTAGCTCTGACCCTGCTCACCACTCTGCTCCAAGTACTAGCCCTGTACCCAAAGCTCCTGCCACAATCTCAGGTGTGCAAGAACTAGCACATGTCCTTACTTTCCTTAAGTCACCTTAACTTGGTGTATTAGTCCGTTTTGTGCTGCTATAACAGAAATACCTGAGACTAGGTATTTATAAAGAACAGAGGTTTATTTGGCTTACGATTCTGGGACAGCTGCATCTGGCATGGGCCTCAGGCTGCTTCTACTCATGGCAGAAAGTGGCAGGCAGCTGGTGGGTACAAGCTGATCACATGGTGAGAGGAAGCAAGAGAGAGGAAGCGAGAGAGAGAGGGGGGGGAGGTGCCAGGGTCTATTAAACAACCAGCTCTCGTGGGAACTAATAGAGCGAGAACTCACTCATTAATCCCCCCTCCCCCAGGGATAGCATTAATCCATTTATGAGGGATCCACCCCCATGACCCAAACTGCCACATTGGAGATCAGATTTCCATGAGTTACAATAAATCCAAACTCCATCACTTGGCTTCACAAGCCTTAAACCCTGACAAAGTTATTCAAACAGTCTTTCTTGGGAGCCCCTGCCCCCACCTGCAGATATCACCAAGGTCCCCAGTTCCCAGGTAGTCCCAAGGTACTGCAGAGAGATTCTAGATCTGGTGCCCATGAAGATCCCCATGCCCACAGCTCTCTTCTCCCCAGGCTGGCTCTCTTCCCTTCCTGCCTTCTGAAGCTACCTCCCTCCAAGACGCTTGTCCTTTCCTTAATCTTTCTGTGTCTCTGTTTCCACCAGTGTAGGATAGGATTAATGACAGCAGCTGCCTCATTAAGTCGCTGTGACTATTAAAGCAGTTACTAGACAGTGCACCCCAGCCATGCTGGGCACAGCGGTCAGCTACTGCCCCTGCTCCCGTTTCTGCTCCTGCGGATGCTGGTGTCATCGCCCAGCTTAGGTGGGCTCGGGGTTGTGCTGGTAAAAGGAGGGGCCGTTGGCTTTGTGGTGCCTTGGCATGCCTCCTTCCCTGCGCACTTTACAGAAACACGAAGCACAGAGAGGGCTGGCCACCCACTTGAGGGGACACCCAGGGAGAGCACACACAGACTAGCATTCCCCTAAATCATCCTGCCACGCCCAGGTTCAGTGACGTGGCATTTGGCTGAAACGTTGACCAAGCTGGGTTAGTGTCCTTCACATTCCCCTTGGTGTTCATAGCCTGCCCTAAAGATTGGAGGACTCAAGGCGTCCCCAGCAATTCACTCCTAGAAGCTGCGATTTTCATACTTACGTAAGAAAAACTTCTGCAGCATTGGAATCGCGAGTGCCCTCACACATACACGACCTTGGCAGAGCCGTCGCATCAGAAAGTTAACGCATAGTAGCCCCTCTGTTGAGTAACCAGGACATTTACACCTCCTTCTGGAAGCTGGTAGCCTGCGTGGGACATAAATGTAACCTCCAACATCCCCAGAAAACTTTGTACACAGATTGATGCCCCTGGAGTTTAACTGCCTAGCGCCGTGTCCCTGTCCTTGTCACTAGAAGATGATGCCGTGTGCAGTCCTCGCAGTGCATGGGGGCGGCGGGGGGACATAAATGACCAGCTGTCCTTGTGCCTCTGGGAAGCCCGCCGGCCCAACGGGGCCTCCTGCGTTCTCTCGCCCCTTGGCTTTGAGAAACTTACTTAGAAGCGAGTGCTTTTTACAGAGTGCTCCATTCTTCACTCTCTTTTTAATTCTGTGTGGGGTAGAATGGAAACATAAGAGGCTGATTTCATCTTTATTTCTCAAATATTTTTTATTTCTCATTACTTTTTTAGCTGTGCTCTTAACATTCTTATTCCTTCAATTATTTTACTCGCTCTGTATTAGTGTGCTGGGGCTGCCCAGCAAGTGTGACAGACGGGAGCGAAAACAACAGAAAGGGACTGGCTCACAGTCCTGGAGGTTGGAAGTCCAAAGTCGAGGTGTCCGCTGGGTGGGGTCCTCCTGAGGGCGGCGAGGGAGAATCCATTCCAGGTCTCTCCCTCAGCTTCCAGTGGTTTTCTGGCCGCCTTTGGTGTTTGCTGGTGTGTAGAAGCATCAGCCCATCTCTGCCTGCATGTTTGCATGGCGTTCCCCCTCTGTGCACATCTATCTCTGTATCTGATTTCTCCTTTTTATAAAGACACCGGATTTAGGGCCCACCTTAATGACTTCATCTTAACCAAATGCATCTGCAACAACCCTATTTCCAAATAAGGTCACATTCTGAGATACTGGAGATTAGGATTTCAACATGCGAATTGTAAGGGGACCCAGTTCAACCCATAATACCCATAACACAGTCCCTGTTTCTTTGTCTTCCATTGTTCTGGGTTACCTGACCCTTTTTTCATACCCTCTGTCTCAGTATCTTTTCATCGCCGTTTTCTTCTTCTCTCCCTTGTGGAGGTCTTGGTGCTTGTTCAGGGAATCCTGAACTTTCTAAGCTCTGAGTAAGTGGATGGGAAAGGGGTATGGCTTCCATGCTGGACATAGCAAAGCACAGTAATATGCTTTCAGAGTGAGTCTCAGAGCTTGGCAAACAGCTCAGGCTGGTTGTGTCCTTCACTCTATGGGAACCAACACCCACTAATTCAACTTAATAAAATTTGTCTTAATAAAATCTGTTAGGTTCTAGAAATTATGCTGCATCTGGATATTAATTTACATAAGCAGGGAAATTGGGGTCACTTTCATATCACCTCTGATGTCATGTTTACTGGCTGTCAGCACTGGATTTAATGGTTGCTATCGGATCTCTTTCTATTCTAGTGGAGGCTAAATTAACCACTCTTCTATTTATTACCTGCTCATTAAAAAACGCGGGTATCTGAAGCTGTAATGGAAGTTTTCATTATTATTCATCCTCCCAACCTGTACCCATCGTCCTTGCAGAGGACTTTTTTTTTTCATGTGGAGGCTTTGAAAGGCAGCACTCCACAACAAAACAGCAATTATTATCTGAATATTAACTCTAATTCTTTTGGCATTTGAAAATGCTTAAAAGCTTTTAGTATTTTAGGATCTCATATACACATGAATGTGCAAATTGTATTTGTCATACATCTATAACGTCAAAAGCTCTGCAAGGTCAGTACTTGTTATAGGAAGAAAGCATCAGGAAAAAAAAAGTCAAGACACTGTGATTCATTCATTGAGTATTTTTACTCCAGATTCAGATACAAATCAAAAGAAAATCATATGAGCCTATAAAGGTCCATCCTCATGATAAATGGAGACAGCTAAACTAATTTTCTTGGTGACCTTATCTAAATTAGTTAGAAAATAACACTTCAGATTTATGACTAGTTACAATTAAGCCCTTTGATATCTTCTAATTAAACCTGTAAAGATTTATTTCTATATTATTCCTTTGGTAATCTTTTAAAAATGATAAAAATGTAAATGAATATTACCCTGAAAAGGAGATGTTTCTATTTATCCTAAATTAGACTCATACCCTTCCTTTCAAATGACTGCATTTTAGATTAAGATTTACACTGCTCCAATACAAATTTCACATGGATCGTAAGCAGTTCATTTTTAAAGTTTGTGCAAACGTTATACATAATCTCTTGGAATATAAATAAAGCAAAATCCACCATATTTTAGCCTTCTTTGTATGTCCTCATTTTAGAACTTTGTCCCATTTCGCATAACCCAATATTCAAATGTTATTTTTGAAAATATTAGGAGGTTGGTGTAACAATCAACATAATTCCCAGTTTACTACAGCTACTATAGCAATGCTTTCTTGGCTGGATGGATTTTCTACAAACCTTTATCTGAGAGATGTGTTCTTCATAAAGATTCCATAATATGATTAGATTTGCTCTGAAATGTTAAATTTGGATTCTGTGATTATTTTGCAAGTGCCAAAATTATGCAGCTCAGACCGGCAGTGTTTCCCATTCATTTATCCTCTGTTTCTTTTCTCCCCAGGTGAGTACAACTACCTGGGGACCACTCTTCGCCAGCTATCCATAGAACCCATGCCTTCCCTCCTGGATGTCAGACAGCTCATCACATTGTACGGGATCTTGCCATTAGGTAAAGACTTTTTCTGTTGTGCCTTTTCTACAAACAGGGGTGCTCCACTGGCTGGCTTTGACAGTGGGTTTGTTTGTCCTCACAGGTGCATTGCAGTTTAACTTTTGCTGTTCTGGGTGAGCATAGTTTCATCTCAATAATAATGCTCACCTTTAAGGCTTAACCAGTTTTTGCTAAGTCCATTCTCACCGCAAAATAAATGATTATTTAGACAGACGTGCCAGAGCTCTGTGGCGTGCCGGGTGATGCAAGAGAGGTGGGCTCTCAGTAACACAGATGTCTGCTGCTCTAATTCACTTTTCCTTTTTATGGCTTTAATATGTGTATGACCTGAGTCACCTGGGGCAGGGACAGCAACTCCAGCCAGGCTGTGCTCTGACAACAATTCTGAAATAGAAATCATTTTTTGTTTGTTTAAATTGCCTCACAATGAGATGGGAGTAACCTGAACACTTATAACATTGTTCCACTTTGTCTTAAATAAGAATTTAAGCTTATTGGCAAGAAATAGTTAATTCCTCCTCTAACTTAATGTCAGAAGTAGTAATGGAATTTAGGGTCAACATAAATTATATATGTAATATATATAATATAATATAATAACATAACATAAATATATCACATTTGGGGGCCAACATAATTTGGGGTCAACAAAATAAATACATAATATTTATGGGGTCAATGTAAATAAAATAGATGAGACCTCATACCTCATCACAGTGTGATGGAAGGCAGTAAAGTAGGACACCAAGAGCTAACAGGTTTTTAGGGGCGTTCCTAGCAAATGAGGGTGGCACATGTCACTTCCTCAGCTTGCGGGTACGAGGTGATACCTGCTCTTTCGGAGCTGGCTTTGAAAGCATCACAGAAGGGCACTCAGGAAGCATAACTTCCCCCCACCCCGGGCCCTCCGTTTGACACCAAGAACCTGCTGTCCATACCACTCCATCTCACAGAGCCCGGAGGTGCTCGTTCTCAGGACAGAGGTTTTGTGGCATGTCTGGAATGCATAAACAAGTCAGGTAGATGAAGTCTGCACAGATAAGCCTTCGGGTGCTTTATTTAAATTCCATAATAGCATCCTGTCATGAAAAGTAATGTGGTTTTGGGCCCAGTTGTTCAGGTCCCCTCGGTGGTGGCCACTGCTCAGATTAACAAACTGGGCCACTCAGCTGAGCATGCTGAGGACATCTCCACGCAGACACTGTCCACACCTGGTCAGGTAACACCAGCTGCAGCCTGGGCTCCCAGACTAGGGCTTAGGCTCCAAAGCCACCTTGGTAGATAAGAGAAGGGATGTGTCTGGTTAGCGTTCACCTACCCTCCTGGAATGTTACTGTCCCCTGAAGATGAGGAGTGAAGGAAGGGAGAAGGATGCTTACGGAGCAGAAACAGCGTCTGCAGAAGTTTCACACCGCTGCTTCATTTCCCGCCAGACCCCATCCAGGTGGACATTGTCCTGCCCTCACAGGGTCATTAGTAAGCATTTCCAAGATGCGGAGGAAATTCTTCCAAGTCACGAGGTCAGAAAGAAGCAAAACTGGGTTTAGGACACGGTACACTGGCTTCCTTGTTACTCTTTAATCCTCCCAAGTGGAAAAGGGTTTATGTGTGAAAGCTGGAAATGTGCTGTGTCTCTTGGTGACTCTGTGAGACAGGCAGGAAGAGCTGGCACCAGCCTCCCTCCCACCCCTATTGTCGTCCCCTGCCACCTCGCCAGTCAGAATTCCCTGCCACTTGCTCCGCTAATACTAGCTTGATTTATCATGCAGGCCTGTGTCCTGTGTCCCCATCATTTGGAACCTTCTCATACACACCCTTCTCTGCACGTTCCTATTGTGCCTGGTCTTCAGAGGCCAGTTCAGATGCCACCTTCTCCTGCAAGAACAGCCCAAGCCCCCCAGGTGGAGTTAGTTTCTTCTCTGAACTCTCTGTGGCTCTCGTAGATCTCAGTACTGTTTACTTCACATTCTAGTTATATCCACTCAGATCTCAGCTCCCCTCCTGGCCATAAACTCCAGACAGCAAATCCTGAGTCTTTTTCACATTTTAGCCAGGGCCATGCACAGAGCAGCCTTCCACACCTGGGTGTCTTCTCAACGGAAATGAACAGCATCTTTTTTTTCTGTCTTAGAAACAGTATCTCCTTTACCATATCACATACCAGCATCCCTCACTAACCTCAAATAAAGCGTGCTTATTTAATTTCATTTTAATGAGAATTTGTTCAATTACTTTTCAAGTTTATGTGCAGAATGGCAGGTAACCGTAAAAATTATGTCTCTAACTATCATGTAAATGTCCCATATCTTTTCAATTACACAAGAAAAAAAGAAAGGAAAGAAAGCACAATAATAATTTTATTGACTTATTTACAGCTGACCAAAAAGAGCGCAGTAGTTGACCAAAAGCAAACTAATATGATAGTAGATGTTTTGATCACAACATTTTCCGGGATTTAACTCTGTTCACTATTACTTAGTGCCCAATACGTGCCGTGCTGTGTCACTGCAATGGAGAATAGTCAAGCCTGTGTCCCATTCTGGGCTCCAGGAGATCGGCAGTGCTTGAAAGTATGAGGCATGAACCTCTGAATGACTATAATCATTCAAGTCACTGTATTATCAAGTGTCACATTTAACTCTGCCATTACTGACAAGCTAGAAGCCATGGTAGGAGGACAAAGTTCAGATCACTGCTGTGGGGACCTCGGTCTTCTGCTTTATTGTATAAGAACCGCTCAATGCTAGGAAAGAGGGAGGGTCCCAGGGAAATGCACACTTCTCAGTCAGCCGCGTTGTCTGTGTCTCTGCCTTCCTCTTCCCAACCATTCAGAGGACTTAATGCCACTGCTGACAAGCAGAGAAACCCCCTCCAAAAAAAAAAAAAAAACAGAGGTAAGCATTGCAGGAATGCACTTCAACATCCTGAGTTTGAGGGCAATAGTGGTGTGGGTGGGGAAGAAGGGTACTGAGGACCAACCAAGACCTGGTGGCTTCATCCCAAGGCCTGACATACAAATTAAGGGTGTCACAGAGACAGCTGGGATGGACGGCATGCCTCTTGTTTGAAATGCTTTTGACACGTTTATCACTGTTGCAAGAAACTAGGGGTCACTCAACACAGTGACAGCCTGGCAGTATCCTAGTCTAAGAGCCACTGATTTTCTTGGCGAGATTTTAGAGCCTTTGCCTCTGCCTTTTTTAGGTTCTGCAGCAGTGCATGAGAAAGCTCCTTTGGTGAAGTCGCTGCTGTTGGTTGGGCCGTCTGGGGTAGGGAAGGAAATGCTAGTCCATGCCATCTGCACAGAAACGGGAGCCAACCTATTCAACTTGTCCCCATCCAACATTGCTGGGAAATACCCTGGCAAAAATGGCCTCGAAATGATGCTGCATGTCGTCTTCAAGGTACCTATTACATTTCTTGGTTTCCAATTCTCCTCCCCTTTTCAAATTACATTTCCAAATCCTGCAGATAATTTCCTTAGGCCGACAAGCACGTCGCTCTTAAACATCCCCATTATATCCTCCTGTAAATGGCTTCATTATTGCGTCTGGCTGAGCATCCACAATTAGAAACAGCTTCTTTCTTCACATAAACACCCTACTGTGCCATCCAGATCACCCCCCTCCTGCCACAGAAATCCTTTCTGAAATGCTTGCAGGTCTCATTGAAAATTCAATCCACAATTTCTTTTTCCAGCCCACCTCTCTTTAATAATTGGCATCAGATATTTGGGTTTTTGGTATCCCCTCTCATGTGGCAAGAATTGCCAAGCTACAGTATCTTCTGTGCATCAGCTCCTGCACAGTACCTGTGGAGGAGCCTGCAGGAAACTCAGCCGACCACACAATGGTATCACAGGGTCGGAGACAGGTTGTCCTGAAAGATCAAACCCACTACCCAGCTCTATGATCTTAGCTAAGCTCTTAACCTCCCAGGGTCTGTTTTTTCTCACCAAAATGAATGCATTTTAAAGAATTTGGATACAGAATATTCAGTATTAAGACTGTAGGATTTAATTTTCATTTGGTTAAAGATGTCAAGGTTACCCTTATGCTGTTCAATTCACTTTTAGTTGCTAGAATGCCGGCTTTTACTGTATCGAAAACCTACCTGGTTGCAAACACTATCCTATACAAGAGGTTGGAAATTGGTTCTGCATCTGCTTTCTAAGGGGCTCTAGAGCATGGGAGGTGGTTATAAACACAACAGTTTACAGGAACAATGAACAGATAGGAATGTCTCCCCTTCAGTATGGTGCTAATATGCAAGGCTGAGGAGGCGACAGCAGTAGGATTCCTTCCCTGAGCCATGGGTCCCCCACTGCAGCTGCTCAGGACCTTCCCCACTCTGCTCTTCTCCTTTCTGAAGGACTCCAGTGGGTAACAGCTGTGTAGCCACCATTTTCATGTGCTTTCTGGTCCTAGCGACAGCAGTAGGATTCCTTCCCTGAGCCATGGGTCCCCCACTGCAGCTGCTCAGGACCTTCCCCACTCTGCTCTTCTCCCTTCTGAAGGACTCCAGTGGGTAACAGCTGTGTAGCCACCATTTTCATGTGCTTTCTGGTCCTCGTATGACTTCTTTTTTGAAATGTCTATTAGAGTCATTTACCTACTTTCCACTGGATTAATGTTTCCATTGGATTGTTCGGGTTAACTCAGTAGTTTTGAGTATTTCAAAATATTTTAGAACTTTGAAGAGCTGGTAGGTGGGAGCGGAGGAAGGTAGGTGGGGAACGAAGAGGCCGGATCCCCTGCTACATCTAATCTTCACAGCAGCCCAGTGAGGAGTTCTCATCGCCTCCATGAACAGATAAAGAAACTGGGGCTCTGGGAGGTGAAGTGACTTGCCCAAGGCCACTGAGATCAAGTGGCTGAGCTACTATTCAAACTTGGGTTCCTCTCCTCTTTTTTCTCCTGCAGTATTTTTTTTTTCAATTGAAACGTATTGATTGACCATATTTATGGAGTACTGAGTTATATTTCAATACACATATATGATGTGTAGTGATCAAACCAGGGAAGTTAGCAGATTCATCACTGCAAAAATTTATCATTTCTTCATGATGAGAACATTTGAACTCCTCTCTTCTAGTTATTTGAGAACATACAATAAATTACTGTTAATTATAGATGTCTAGCACTGCTGTATACCACTAGAACTTACTTTTCTTGTCTTGCTTTAATTTGGTGTCCATTAACCAACCTCTCACTATCCCTGCTTCTCCTGAAATACTTTTATTAAGGCAGAAATTAGACTTGGAGAAATGTACGGATCTTAAGTATACATGTTTGTGAGCTTTGAAAAGTGCACACAACTTTGTAACCACCATTTGCATGTGAATTTTGGTCCTTGTATGACTTTTTTTTGAAATGTCTTTTCAAACCTGCTTTTTATTGGATTATTGGTCTTGTGATTTGTAAGATTTCTTTATACATTCTGGGTTCAAGTTTTTGCCAGATATGTGCATTACACCGTTTTCTCTCATTCTGTGACTTGCCTTTCCTTTCTCTCACTGTGAGTTTTCTTGCTTTATTGGATTATTGGTCTTGTGATTTGTAAGATTTCTTTATACATTCTGGGTTCAAGTTTTTGCCAGATATGTGTATTACACCGTTTTCTCTCATTCTGTGACTTGCCTTTCCTTTCTCTCACTGTGAGTTTTCTTGTGTAATTACTCTATCAGTTACTGAAAGAGGGTGTTAAAACCTCAGACTACATGGATTTCAATAGTTTTCCCTTTATTTCTGCCCATTGTTGCGTCAGTATGTTGGAGCACTGTGTGAGATGCCACCTCATTTAGGACTGTTATGTCTTCCTGATTCATTCATTGTTTCCTCATTATGAAATGTCTCTTTTTCTCTCTAGAAATACTCCTTGTCTTGAAGTCTACCTGGTCTAATACTAACATAGCCACATCAGCTTTCTTAAGCTTACTGCAGATGGTATATCTTTAAACTCTTTTATTTTTGATGTATCTATGTCTTTATGGTTAATATGCATTTCTTGGGGATAGCACATGGTTAGTTTTGCTTTCCTGTTCAATCTGACAACATAGCCATTGAATTGGAGCATAAATTGGCTCCATTTACATTAAATGCAATTATTCAGACGGTTGAGTCAGGTCTACATTCTGCTATTTGTTCTCCATTTGTCCTATCTCTTTTTTATCCTGTTTCTCTTTTCCTGCTGTCTTTTGAGTTAGTTCAGTATGTTTCAGTATTTCATTTAAATTCCTCCACTGTCTTTTTGGTGGTACCTCTTTTTTTCATTTTCGAATGTTTGCTCTATGGATTACAGTAGTCATTCTTAACTTATCACAGTCTATATAGAGTTAATATTGTACCATTTTACATAAACATGAGAACCTTGCACACCCATTTATTATCCCCTGTCCTTTTTGTTTGTGTTATCATACATTTTACATCAAGGAATGTTATAAACATCACAATAGAATGTCATTATTTTTGCATTAAACAGTCATCTGTCCTTTTAAAAAATTGAAAGGGAAAGAATTATAGTCTCTCGTAGTTTCCACACGTTTACCATTTTGGTGCTCTTCATTCCTCTCTGTCAGTTCAGGTTTCCACCTGCTGTCATTTCTCTTTCAACTGAAGAACTTCCCTTAGCATTTCTTTTAGTGGAGGACTGCCAACAACAAATCTTCTTAGCTTTTATTTCATTTATATTAAAGTGTCTTTATATTGACTCCATTCTTGAAAAATATGTTTGCTGGATACGGAAGCCTGGGTTACCCTGTTTTTCTTTCAGCACTTTAAAGATATTTTTCCATTGTCTTCTGATCTTCATTGTTTCTGATGAAAAGTTACCAAAAATTTGGATTATTTATCTCCTTGTGTAATTGTCATTATTCTCTTCATGGTTATAAGATTTTCTCTCTATTTTGGTTTGCATCAGTTTGACTGTGATGTGCCAAGGAGTTCTCGTTTGTTTGTTTTTGTATTTATTATACTGCTTGTGGCTCACTGTGCTCATTGAATCTGTAGATATATGTTTTAAACCACATTTGCAAAATTTTGGCCATTGTTTACTCAAAATTTTTTACCCCATTCTCTCTCTTTTTTCCTTCTGAGGCTACAATTATACACATATTTGCTTGATATTGTTCCACAAGTTACTAAGGTTCTGTTCTCTGTAGTTCCTGCATTGGATAATTTCTATTAATCTTTATTCAAGTTTACCTATCTTTTCTTCTACCATCTTCAATCTGCTATTAAATCCATCTTGTGAATTTTTTTATTTCTGATATTTTGATTTTCAGCTCTAGAATTTACATTTGCTTATTATTTTCGGCTTTTATTTCTCTGCTGTAATTTTCTATCTGTTCATTCAATATAACCTTTTCCTTTAAATCCTTGAACCTAATAATTATCATAGAGTGCTAATTCCAATACTGGGTCATTGTGGAGTCTATTTGACTGCTTTTTTCCTTGACCATATGTCACATTTTGCTGTTTCTTTATATAATTTAATAATAATTTTTATGTATATGAGGCATGTTGTAGAGTCTCTTTAGCAAGCTGGGCTTTGTTCTATTGGGCAGCTAACTTACTGGCTGATCAGCTTGAATTTGCAGAGGCTTTGTTTTTCATTTTGTGAATGTGGATCTATTTTGATTTTGCCCTTAGCCCAAGGTAAAATTTTTTAGTCCTGGGCATGACCTTTACTTGAAGGTTTTAATGGAAAGCCTATTTACCAAGTTTCTCTAACTTGGCAGTAGCTGAGGTATGTAATCAGTTCTTTTAGTTTTCAGCTACTGCTTTTTATTCAGCTTCTTGGAATTGTCCCCACTGCATGCACACTACCAAGGTTAGCCAGTGATTTGAAGGAGAGCTGGGATTTGAAGCCAGGAAACCTGACTTGTGGCTTTCATGTGCTTAACCACCCAGCTGTAAGCACTAAGCTCTTCAGAGGAAAAGTAAATTAAACCCGTCCTCTTGCCCAAAAGAACACCTAAATTTGTTCATTCTAAACACCAAATATTGTTGACATTTGACATTGTCAAGTAACAGACAAAAGCATATGAATATAAAAACATTAGCATATTTTAAGCATTTATATATCCCAGACACTGTTGTACACATCACTGTGTATTAAGTCATTCAATCTTCACAACAACATTATGAGATAGGCACTATCATTATCTCCACTTTACTGATAAGAAAACCGAGGCACAAAGCGTTTAAGTAATTTTCCTGGGTTGCAATACTGCAATATGACCCTACATAGTCAGGCTCCAGAGCCTCCAAGTTTCATAGCTACATTACACAGCCTGTAACCAAAGTAGGGCTGAATTAAGTATGGCTTTGTAGCACCTGGTGTGAATCTAGGACAGAGCCAATGACATGATCATTAAGTTCTCACTCTAGGAAAGTTATTTGTT